GGGAAAATAAATGACAAGCCGCATGGGTTTAATTTAGGGATGTGAACGAGCCGAGCTCGGCTGTTTTGGCCGGCTCCGAGCCTGAGTCCATGTTGCCGAGCTCGAGCTCATCGAGTTAATTTTTTTTGGCTCGAGCTCGAGCTCATTTAGTTTTTTTTTTTTTTTATTTATATTATTTTTTTTAATTAAAAATCATTTTTTTATTAAAAATTATTTATAAGAAACTAAAAAAATTATAAAATAAATAATGAACTCTAGTAATATTTTTTTAATTTTTCTATTATTATTATAATATTTTATATTATTATGAGTTATCTAAGAAATATAGATTTGTTTCTATTTAAATAGTAGAAATATTTATTATTATAGACTATTTAGTTAATAATATATATATATATATATATATATATATATATATATATATATATATATTTAAAAAGTTAAAAAAAAAAAATAATGCAGCTCGCGAGCTGTCGAACAACTAAATTTGGGCTGGAGCTCGAGTTCGAGCCGGCTCGACTCGTTTACCACCCCTACTTTAATTCATAAAATCCATGTTTAGAGGTAAAAGAATAGAACACTTAAACATGTAACTACAACAAGATCTTCATAGCAAAATGGTATGGCATGGGCAATTTCTTAGTGAGCAAACTTGGACATGTTAATATGTCCGGATAAAATAAATTAAATATTAGGAGACTTAATGGAAGAGCAATGAGAGGTGTAACTTATAGTGTTGATCGCAATTGCGGCCCAAGTAATCGTCAAGAGTCTCGTCATCTTCAAGATCATCACCACCGGTGAAAACTACAATCATATAATCAATAATTTTAGGGCCAAAAAATGCCTGTAACATCGAAACACCAGCTTCTTCTTCTTCTCTCGAAATGCGAGTTCTAATTGATGCCACTAGAAGAATAGCATGGATACCACCCTTTGCCATATTGATGCATTTGGCAATTTCCTTTCGAATAAATTGAGGTTCAGCCGAACAATCAAATATCCTGGGCAATTGCAGTTAATTCATAAAGTAAAAGTCACACATGTTTACACTTGTCTGCAAAAAGATTCTAAATTAATACTACTAACATGCATATATGTATGTACCTGGTGTATCAATCACTGCAAGATTCTGCCCGTTTTCCAGTAAAGTAGTTGTATGCATCTCACAAGTGCTGGTGATACGAGTAGAGCTCGACATTGACTTGAATGCCTTTCTTCCAAGTAAACTATTCTCTGTTGCACTTTTCCCATTACCTGTTCTTCCAACCAGTACTATAGTCTTAACCTCGCTTAATGAAGGCGGTGCCATTTAAATTAAGTCAACTTATCTGCAAAAAGACCAACAAAAACCATACACAAATTGAAGCGTTTGCGAGTGTGAAAGAATCAGATAACTGCCATACATAATCGGATGGTTATATTATCAAATCAACGAAAGAAAAAAGTTAGGAATTTCTTACATTGAAAACAAGGAGAAACAAAAGTAAAGAGGAGAAAATACACTAGCAAGATATTTTCCTAATCCGTGGATACATTTTCAGCCATTAATAATGATTCCATCAGCATCAAATGTGCTAATACAATAGACTTGTGGGCTCTCTGTACTGGGAAAAAACAACAAGGAATTGTTGTTGACTTGATCTCATATAAAAAAAGAAAGACATGGGCAATGTTATTTTTTATAAAAGTCGTCGTCGTTTTGCCAAATTGACCACGATGAATAGGAACATCAAGCAAGCAACAAAGATAAATGAAAAAATACAAGACATACTAACATGGCTACTATGGTTTTGTTAATAATTAGTAGTGGGTTTCACGTATTTGACATATTTTTAATTACCTTTCTTCTAGTCTTCTTATTCCTTCTCTCTCTGGTCTCTCTCTTCAACAAGTGCGCCGAAAGTAGGTTTTTTTTTTTTTTTTTTTTTTTTTTTTTTTTTTTTTTTTGTGAGCAAGGTTGGTTGCTTGGGGTTTCATTCCAAAACAATTGTCACATATTTTTTGCTTCAACTTCAGCGGCAACTTATCTTGGAATCGGTTGCTACATTTAAGTGGTGTTTGCAAAAGTTTATTTAAAAGCAGAAGTTAGTGATTGTGAGTTAAAATGAAATTAAACGCTTAACTCTATAAGTTGGGGGTGTTTGCAAATTAGCTAGAAAATCAACTAAAATAAAAAAAGCTGGTTTATGGGTGCTTTTAAAATTATAGCTTAAAACAGCTATTAGCGAGACTCCCCTCAGTATTTTTTTAATAGTATTAAACATAGAGAGAATTACACTTTTGGTCCCTCTTGTTTGACCCGATTTCACTTTTGGTCCCCCTTGTTCCAAAGAAAACAAAGTTCACCTCCAAGTTTCAATTTTAAACACTTTTGGTTCCTGCCATTACATGTCCGTTAGCAAGTAACGGAAAACACTATTTTGGGGTGAATTTTACAATTTTGAAATCTTTTGGGGCCGAAAATAATTATAAATTTAAAATGGACTACTTATAATTTTTAATAATAAAAAAAGAAATTAACGAAAACAATTTATTTTTAATATACTTAATATTATTGTGAATATACTACTCATAATTATTTTTTTAATAATAAAAAAATTATACTAAACTAATTATTTTTAATCATACTTAATATAATTTTTAATTATACTACTTATGATAAAAAAAAATTAATAACAAAAAAAAAAATTAACTAAACAAATTATTTTTAATCGTACTGAATATTATTATAAATGTACCTCTTATACTTATTTTTTTAATAATAAAAAGTTTAATTAATTAAACAAGTTATTTTTAGTTATACGTAATATTATTTTTAATTAGACTACTTATAATAAAAAATAAATTAGCTAAGAAAATCATTTATAATTATACTTAATATTTTTTATTATTATACTACTTATAATTATTTTTTAATAATAAAAAAGAAATTAACTAAATAGTTCGTTATACTTAATACGAGTTTTCATTATAATGCTTAAGATTATTTTTTTAATAATAATAAAAAAAAAACTAACTAAATAAATTTCATTATACATAATATTATTAAAAATTTAATTATAAGCCTTCTATTTTAAATCTCGAATTATTTTTCAGCCACCAAAAAATTTAAAATTTTAATTTTCACCAAAAAATAGTGTTTTCCGTTACTTGCTAACTGACATGTAACGGCCGGGACCAAAAGTGTTTAAAATTGTAACTTGGAAGTGAACTTTGTTCACTTTGGAATAAGGGGGATCAAAAGTGAAACCTGGCCAAACATGAGGGACCAAAAGTGTAATCCTCCCATTAAACATACTTTGTTATTTGCATTTGAGAACCTCCTAACATCTCATAACCCCATTTTACCCTCACAGTATTCCAATTCCCCTTCCCTCTTACCCACTACCTATATATGTTCTGTTTTCTATCATTTTTTTAATAAGGGGAAATTGACTAAGCACCCCTTATTCTAGACTTATATAGGTGGGTGAAGATCCAATGTGTTAAATGAATATAGGTGTAGGTCCATTGACAAAAAAAAATAATATAAATTAAATAATCTTACAAGTTATTAGATATAAATACCCTCAGACTATTAATTGTTTTATGGGATTATTTCACAAACCCCCTCATATGCACTGTCCAATTAAGAGAGGTCCAATTTTTTTTTGGAGAAATTGGCTAGACACCCTAATTTTGGACTTATATAGGTGGAGGTCCATTCTATTAAATGAATATAGGTGTAGATCCTTTGACCAATAAAATAAACTAAAATTATTAGTGTATAGACATAAATATCCTTTAATTAATATTTATATGTAAATAGTTATTTTGGAAATTGAGGGAACAAATCCCACAAATCTCTCTCTTTCTAACACACACGTAATATATATTTCTCTCTCTCCCCAACCCCACCCCACGCCTCTTCATCTATTTCTCTCTCTCATACATCGTTCTCTCTCTTAAGCAAGTACTTAAATTTAGTTTTCAATTCTTGTAAAAAAAACTTTTATTTTATTTCCATAAATATCTTATAGCAATCTTCATTAATCAACTTTCTTGAAACCGTATACTTTTGAATATTAATTGTTACTTTCTATTTTCCGATGGTATTGCATTTTATTTATGTTTGCATGAAGGGTCGGCACTCTCGCACACTAAAGTCTTCGCTGACCTGCCGTCTGCCACGGGTTTTTTTTCTCTATAGAAAACTGCAAAGTGCAATGTATAACGTAAAATAACATAAACAATAAATAACGACGCAAATAATAAATAATAAACGGCAAACACAAACAATAAACGACAAACGACAAACATAGTAGACACAAACAATAAACAACACTGCCCCTAGTGCATTTTTTACTCGAGCAATATGAAATAGTTTCAAAACACGAAATACAAATAAAAGACGTTATAACAAACACCAAAAAGCTAATTTTTGTATAGAAGCAAATTAGTACGTTAAGTACAAAATACTTCAAGATACAACTTTTTTGAACACATTTAATGTGGTGTTCTTTGAATTTATGTCGGTTGAAGATGTGAACAAGTGAAACGAGGTTTGAGAGAATATTGTGGGATTCATGGATCTTCTGTAATAACTTGTTCCGTGAGGACTTTGTTTGCAATCTAATTTGCTCTTGTTTTTTCTCCTTTGGAAGACGTCGAAGAGTCATTTAATGCCTTGTTTTTTTTCTTTGACGTAGCTGTTTTAGCTCATACAAAATAAAACGAAATAAGACTTTCAATTGCAAACAATAAATTGCAAAAACGAACAAAAAATAGCAAATTAAAAACAATAACTGCAATTACAAACAAGGAATTCAAAGTGTAAACATGTAACTGCAAACAAGAAAATTTTAAATAGAAAATTACAAATAAGAAATTCAAAGTGTAACAAGCAACTGCAAACAAGAAAATGATGGTTCAATTGTAAACAAGTAACAAACTGCAAACACATAGCAGGCCACATGAACATCTACAAAATAAAGAAAAGAAGAACAACAAAATGCATACCACAAGAACAACAAAAAAAACAAAAACACGATGGTTCAATAATGCACAATAAAATGCAAATTTCAAATAGCAACACAAACGATAACAAATAAACATCAACAACCGACTGAAAAGAAATGCAAACAAGAATGTAAAAAATACGGTAAACAATCATACTAAAATATATATCGAAACTTTAAAACGTGTGAATAATTACCTCAGATCGATGCTCCAATATCAACATTTAATTTCCTTGAGATAAAAATACCAACAATGGATCATTAAATCATCATCAAAACGTCTAAGAAATTAGAGAAATAAAAAGGAATTAATTACCCGGACTCTTACGTTCCCGCACCATGTTGTTTGATATTAAAGTTCTTCGATTTGGCGTTACGAGGATGACGAACAACAAACAAACAAATCTAGGGTTTTTTATTTCATTTAAAAAACAACAAAACATCAAAGGAACGATAAACAACAGCAAACGAACACATTTTTTTGTTGTTTTCTTCTTTTGCGTAGGAGAAGATGAAAAAAATATAAAAGCGTATTTTGGGATTTGAAGATTTGCAACGATGTTTTCTCCGGAGAAAAAAATGGGATTAAAATCTCTATAAAATGGACTATTATTTGGAGATTTTTATTTTCCATATTTTATTAAGGGTATTTTAGACACTATAAAAATAATAAATACAATAAAAATAGGGAATTAGTAGTTGAATTTATACATATAAAATCTCTTATAGAAGGACCTATAGCAAATTACCCCTTTTTTTTTCCCTTATCAAGATAGATCCAAAATATCTTTTAATTAAGGGGCAATTTGCTATAGGTCCATCTATATTATAATATGTGCATAAATCCAATTCAAAATTTAATGTTTTAATAAATTAATAATATTTATTATGGCAAAAATACCCTTAATTAAATCAAATCAAATCCTTAAAAATCTCTCCATCAAAACAAATTTCCAAACATCTCTCTTCCAAATATTAACTTAAACAAATAAATTAATTCATAACAAAAATATACAATTTATTTTACAAACTCATACTCTAAAAACGCCACCGCAGCCCCACCACAGCCTATGATCCGGGAACTGCGACGCCTATGACTCTGCCAACTGCAAATATCAAACTGAAAATT